TGGTAGGCCTTAATTGATAAAAAGGATAGACTGGCCCACTCTTTCTTCTTTGGATATCTGTTGGGCTGAGATGATTTCTGGCCCAAAGAAGAAATAAAAATTGCCCAATAGCCTTTTATCAAGAAATCTGACGACATAAATTGTAGATTAGTCCCTAACCATTTGAACAATTTTACTATAGCCCTAATAACTTTAGCCCTATTTCAATTAGGTCCCTCGATTAATTTTAATTTGGTCCCTAAACATTATTTTTATTTAATTTCGACCCTTATTCTTTGTAATAATTGTAATTTATTCCCCAAAACTTTCTTAATTTTTGCAATTAGGTCCCTTATAGCTTTAATTTCTCAAATATAAATATAAGTTGTTTATCTTCTTTAATTGTTAATTATACTTCATTTAAATGCTTTAATTGGTAGATTTTATGATTATTTTCATTTCTTTATAATGATCAAGTAAATTTGCACTTCGTTTACATGTTATTCCTTTTATTTATTAATTAAATTAGTGTCTTGACCATTTTATTGATTCTGGAGTACAAATAGGACAAATCCAACCTCATTTAACCACTATTTCAAGGGAGGTAATTTCTAATATTATTTTAAACCTTCTTATGTGCTCCTATATAATAATTGTAATTTTGCCCCTTATTCTTTGTAATAATTGTAATTGATCTCCAAAACTTTCTTAATTTTTTGCAATTAGGTCCCTTATAGCTGTAATTTCTCAAATATAAGTTGTTTATGATTTATCTTCTTTAATTATTAATTATACGTCATTTAAATGCTTTTAATTGGTAGATTTCATGATTATTTTCATTTCTTTATAATGATCAAGTAAATTTGCACTATGTTTACATATTATTCCTTTTATTTGTTAATTAAATTGGTGTCTTGATCATTTTATTGATTTTGGAGTACAAATAGGGCAAATCCAACCTTATTTAACCACTACTTCAAGGGAGGTACCTTCTAATATTATTTTAAACCTTCTTATATGCTCCTATGTGTTTTTTATTTGTGATTGCATGTTTTGAGTGATTTTTCTTGTATTTAACTATTTTTATTCATTTTAAATTTCCATTTATTATATTTAATTTTTGATGATCATTTAGAGGGCATTTAAATGCCAAATTGTAATAAATAGATGCTCAAGATATATATTTAGTTAAGTTATGTAATAGATAGGTTTTCATTTTGTCAAAAATATAATTAGTTAGATAAATGTAATTGTTAGATTTTTATGAGCGTTTATTTGCTTGTGTGCTTATGTGTTTATTCACTTTCTTTCGAATCTTTGCATCTAGATATTATGCTTTTATGTGTTATGTGCACCATATGGTTGTGTGTTTACTTGATTGAATTATATTTTATATGATTTATTATGTTATAATAACTGTATGACATCACCACATTAGTCAAACGCTAATTGTGGCCTTTTCCCTGATTTCTCACTAATCAAACACTAGTGATAACTTATAGACATGTGTTAGTCCAATATTAGACCCTTTAGGCTGTTTTCGCACTAGAATCACATGATTACGTGACATCCATTACATTTCATACATATTTTTTTTTATTTTAAGATCATTTTTCTCATTTTGCATGATTTTCCCCTATAAATTATCTCTTTTATCACTACGTGCGCGAAATATGACATTTAGACTTGCATTCCATTTAGAAAATCAAAAGTAGGATAGTCCATTTGCTTGACTAGGTTAGGGGAGTCACCCTCCAAATATGGGAAATGAATGAGTATGATTTTTTAGCCTTAGCACGCTCATATTCCCTCTATAAAAAGGAAAATTGAGTTATGAACCTTAGTCTTCTGAACCCGTTATGTAGCATTCCTCTTTTATAGGTCACGTATATTTATCTATTATAATTTTTCTTTTTCCTTTGAATCTCATATTTTGCATATTCGTGACCTTTTCAAGGAATCAATTTTAAGCGTCGCAATTAATGCGATTTTCACCAATTAAATTTCAAAAAGACATTCCGACCCTTCCGATACACCTTCCTAGGTCTAGATTCGCATCCATATAAACACATTATAATATGATAAGTTTTATAGATTAGACTAAAACAATTTTCGACTAAATCTCGCAACTAGTTTTGATTAAAATTGAAAGGGTGCTTTAAATTTGGATATATCAAATATTTGTTTTCCCTTTCTTCAACCGCAACTCCCGAACCTTTTTCTCTTATTTTAAAAGGCTTGGAGTCATTTAAAAGTGGTTTTATTATTTTTATTTATTATTTAAAAATATATTTTAGATGACTTAGTACACCTAAACTCAATACCAAGTGGCGACTCCTATTTTTCCTAAAAACCCTTTTTAGGCTATTATTTTGTGGCCAAAACCGTTATACTTTCTAAGTCCGATTTTAGGCCCTTTTTCTTTATTTACTTTCTAAAATAAAAAACACATTTTTTCACACATCGTTTAATAAAACTAATTTTTCTTAACACTAAATCAAAAACTCATATTGCTGGGAGAAGTAGAAAAAAAAAAGATAAACTACTGCAAAATTGCACGAAGAGACGGGAAAAGAAAGAATGAGGATATGACAGAAAGAATGACATCATGACAAGAGTTCTGAAAGTCATAGAAGGCAGCGGATAGCCAGTTAGCAGGTAAGATAGAATGGAAAAGATAGTTTTTAATAATTTTAAAAACACGTTTTACAAAGATTATTTTAAAAATTTTTGATATATAGGTATAAGTATAACATGATATTGATAAATAAGTTTACAATTATTCTATTATGTAAATCATTATAAATTAAACTATTTTATTCAAATTGTTATCATATATCGATAGACAATAGGTTAACAAAATTTGGTTTCAATTTATTTAAGATATTAAATTTAAGAAAGTTCATTTTGTACTTACGAAATAAACTCTTTTTTAATATATTAAGTATACACTTCTTTAAATTTTTTGCCTTTTTGATATATTTTATCGTATACTATAATATATAAATATTATTTTGAATTGAAATATAAATCATGCATACGGGTTAGAATGCTAGTAACTAAGTAAACTTAGGCAAAAGAAGCCAGCAAATTAAATGTAAAATTATTAGGAGTAGATTTTTGTGGAAGCACCCCCTAAAAGTAGGAAATTGTTTGGACTTTCATCGAAATTAAGAGGGCCCAAGAGACTTTTTATGCTCGCTTTAGCCTTTAATAAGAACCACCGAAGATTGAGCTGGTTTCTCAAAAGCCTCTTCCATACGATCGTCTATTAATTACAATTTGGTAAGGAAATATGTCATTTGCTGGTCGCTCTACATACATGGACATTTATAACTTTTTGGTGCAATAATAAGGGGATTCGGCAATTTTGCACTGTTTTTCCAACAAGAACTAGAGTTAGGGTTTGGCAATTTTGGGAAAAGGAAAATTTGCTAAATTGGTTCCTAGCATTTACCAAAAACACTTTTTTAGTCCATAACATATAAAATCAGCCAAAATTGTCCTTCACATTTAAATTGTTATCCAATTTGGTCCTAATGCTCGTTTTTGCTCATTTCTCCGGCTAAAAATAGCACGTCCCTCTCACGTGGCCATATTTTCAAGGGCAAAATTGGAAAACAAAAGCTTTCTTCTTCTTTCTTCTTTTCCCCTGTTTCTTCTTCTCCATCGCGACCGAGAGCCCTCATCACCGCTGCCGCATCCTCCGCCCCTCCAACCTCGCTTGTCCACCGCCTCTCTCCACTGCCGCGCGATCTCTGCTCCGCTGCCCTGCGCACTGCCCGCGTGATCCTTCCACCAGCTCACCCGCGACCCCAGCGCACGCCGCCCGCTGCTCAGCGCGCCGCCACTGCGCGGCTCTATTTCATCCTCCGCCTGCCCCGACGCCGCAGCCCGCATCCACGAGAAGTAGCCGCCGCTGCTGCTCGACGCCACTGGCGCGCGTCGCGTACCTCACCTCACCTCACTTCACTCCCTCTTCTCTCTCCTCGCGCCTCCACCAGCGACACGCGGCACCTCTTCTGATCACCTCCAAATATGCTTCTGTTCAGGTGAACTTAGTCACCGTTGTGGTGAACCTGTGCTTAGAGAGTCGAAGCAAGATAAAGATCGTGAGATCAGGGATCGTCCCCAGTGGATCTGGGATTTGTGTTTTCCAATTTTGCCCTTGAAAATATGACCACGTGAGAGGAGCGTGCTATTTTTAGCCGGAGAAAGGAGCAAAAACGAGCATTAGGACCAAATTGGATAACAATTTAAATGTGAAGGACAATTTTGGCTGATTTTATATGTTAGGGACTAAAAAAGTGTTTTTGGTAAATGTTAGGGACCAATTTGGCAAATTTCCCTTGGGAAAATCACAAATTGCGAATTGCCGGGACCGCTATCGTTCCTTTTTTTTTTTTTAATCAATACAGAGATATCCAGATCAATCCTTACAAGACCCGACTAATCCCCTGCGACTCGAGAGAGGAGGTCCCACTCCACACCGAACACATTAATAGCGGGACTCGAACCCTGGACATCGTCATACCCTAAGGAGGGGAGCGGACCGCTCGAGTTACCCGCGAGGGCAGAAGACCAGCCACATAATGTGGCAAATTTGTGGAAGGCAGGGATTGAACCCTGACCTCCAGCACCACCAGTGTTGACCACTGGACCAAATGGCCAGTTCATTTATATGCAATTAACGTAATTGTGGTTTCTATTGCTCTAGGCGTCATCCACTGTCGCGATATTTCTTACGAGGAAGCAAGCGGCGGCGGAGGTGAGAAAAAGGAGGCAAGCGGCTGAGCAGGACAAAATTAAGGGGCTGACAGCGGCGGAGGATCCGAAGGAGGAAAAAAAAAAAGAGGCAAGCGGCGGAGAAGGCGGAGGAGGAGAAGAAGAGCGAGACCGCGGCGCAGCAGGAGACGAAACAAAAGGCGGACGACGACGAGAGGAAGAGGATGCAAGTGGCCGAGGACGAGGGGAAGAAGATGAAAACCTCGGCGGAAGATGAACGGCGGAGCCAGAGAGAAATGACTCCACCAAGCAATTGGTGGCTGCCGATGGTGGATCCTCCGCTGGGGGTGCCAACCATAAACCTAGCCGACTACGAATATGACACGCGCTTGGGCTGGGGTTCCATCGGATATGTCGACAGGGTCCGACACAAACCCACCGGCCGACTTTACGCGCTGAAAGCTGTTCGCATCCACGACCACCAGCGCTGCCAAAATAGGGTGAGGGAGTACATGGCCCTTGCTCCCACACTTGACTATCGATCCATCGTCAAATGTCACGGTGTTCAAACAGAGCGAGGTTACAGCCGCTTGTTGTATGACCTCATGACCTCCCCTCTCAGCGGCTTCCAAACTCATGATATGGAAATACTTTCCCATATTGCGGATAACATCTTGTTTGGCCTGCAATACCTGAGGAAGAAGAACATTGTCTTCAAATTTCTCAGTCCTTCCAATATATTCTACGACGACGCTGATATGGCTTTTAAGATTGGTGATGTCGGGGCTCCTAAGGATCTCTTGTTTGATCTAGATTGCCAGCCCGTGCCAAATGTAGAAGCGGAACGGTACGTGGCCCCTGAGCTCTTGAGTTATATGGTGCGTTTGTCTGTTGAAGGGGTGGAGAATTGGGATGTGTGGAGTCTTGGGATGTGTCTGCTCGAGTTCTATTTGGGGAAATTTCCCATTGACTATGACAAGAGGAAGGATACCAAGGGTGTTTCCCTGCCATTTTTTATGGCTGGGATGCCGAATCCTCCTCGAGCACCCCCCGAAGCATGGCCACCTTTCCGGCATTTCATCGAGTTGTGTCTCCAGCGGAGTCCAGCTGACAGGGCCAGTGTCGACCAACTGCTGTCTCACGAGTTTGTACTCACATTTGATTTTGAACACCAAGAGGGGAAGGGGAAAAACGAAGGGGATAGACTAGACTAATCTAGACTAACATGATGCGGGTGATCTCTCATTACATGATCTTTTTGGAAATGCCTGTATTGCTTATATCATTCCAGCATAGGTAGCACTCTATAATTCAATCGCTTGCCTTAACGTATCTCAGTTGACCGACATTATAGAGAGGCGAATTACGTCCAGTGTGCAGTACTATGTCCTTTGATACATATAGTTGTGGGCTTCTCTTTTAACTTCTCTTCCTCTGTGAATTTTCAATGTAACTTCATTGGACTCTCAATATCTCACCTTTGATTTCTACTTAGTAGTTTATCTCAGGCGTTTGTTACACTTTAAGGTCCTTATCTGCATTGTCTTTCGCTTCTTTTTTGACGTCTTTACTCCTGTTTGTTGTGTAAATGTAATTGCTAACCCATCTCATAGCTTGCCATTTCCAACTTCTCTTTTGTGTAAAAGCACCTTTTGCTCCGTGGAACTTTATGTGCTAATCAATTAGTACGCACAGCTGTTTCACTCAGTATTTAAAGATTTGTCAGTGCATACTTGTTTCCCGTGTTTGATTGAATGAGATGTTTATCCTTACATGCTTTCTTTGTTTCTTGCTTGACAAATGCAACTCTATGTGCATTACATATCTGTAACTCATTCTACCATAGGCAGAAAAGTAAAGCTCTCTGAAATTCAATTGCTTGCCTTTGCACGTCTAAGTTGTCATTCCAGAGAGGCAATCACACTTTTCGGGCTTACTAAGCTCTTAGTTCCAAAGCAGTTTTGCATCTTTTGTGATGGATACGTATGCGCTCCTCTTTTGATTTCTCTTGCTTTGTGGATTTTTGCTGTAACTTCTTTGGACTTTTGATCACATGTTGCTGATTCTTAGTGGTAGTGTAGGTCTCAGGGATTTTGCTATATTCAGGTACTTGTCTGTGTATTTCTTTGCTGCTTCACTGACATCGGCTCCTATCTAATGCATACTTGTACCATGCATCTCAGATTTGCCTTTTCAACTTCCACTTTGCAAAAGCATTTGTCCCTCTATCCTGTTCAATTAGTAACATTCTATTCCGGATTTAAAGGAATGTTACTGCTGACTTGTATTATGAGTTTGCTTTGAATAAGATGTTATAGTAACATGCTTACATTTGTAACCTCCACTGCCTGTTAATCAACTCGCATAACTGTTTTGCAATTAAGGGGAGCTCCCGTGTCTTTTGATTATTTTTTTGCCAACATGGAAGAAGCTTAATATGTTTAACTTCCCTTGGAGCAGCGGTAAAATGCTACATTAGAACTAGTGGCGTCTAGAAAGCTTCTATCTGCCAATATGCACTCCATGCTTATGTGTTTGCCGTTTGGGTTGGATATGTAGATATTTTATCAAGAGCTGTATAAAATGTGGATGGTTTCTCTCAGCAGTCTACCCTGTCCTATTTGCTTCTATACTTGGAAAATTCAGTTATCTGGTAATTGGTGTAGCTTTTTGCATGTTTACTTCGATTGTCTTGATGTACTTAAAATGCTGAGAATGTTGGTGTAGAGCGACATTAGAGTTTAATAATGTGATGAAGTACAAGATTGTCTACTATCTGTCAAAACTGGGTTCAATTGGGATCCTGCAGACCACATTTGGAAATGTTACAAATCTAATATCATATGGAGTAGCTTGAAGGCTGAGAACCAGAACAGTCTGCAGTTCTTATGCATCTAGATTTTTTTCACCTTAAAAGTGGGGGTTTGCTACCTTTTTGTGAGAGCACATGATCCAAAGTATCTGTTGCAGTTGTTCACACTTGCTATTTAATATGGTGGCAGTCCTAGTAACTTGTTTGTAGCTTCCACACCAAAAATGATAATAACAACTTCAGTGTTTACTCTGTGATGCTCTCTTTGTATTGTGACTTACCAAGTGGTGCAACATTGAAGGTAATATGTCCCTTGATAATCTGTGTGTCTTGATATTTTAGGTCTTAAGAGTATGTTTATGAAATGGAAAAATAGCAGCGTTGTTTTCACGATTATGTTGTTTGCCAAAATTGGTTGTGAATTGGTATGGGTGTCATCTGAAGAGGCCAGCAACGATTAGTGGTTGGGTTTTTGATGCCCTGTTCCTTTTAAATTTTCATCTGGTTTTGAATTGAATGCTGAAGGTATCTCTCTTTGAAGTAGTTATGCTACGTTAAGTGCATGTGCCACTCTCTTTCTGAAGCCAGGAAAGGATAACCTATTGTTGTTGTTGTTGTGTGATAAGAATTTGACCACCTATCGCCAATTGCTCGCTTTAGCCCTTTCCAAAACTTTGCTTAAATGCCCGGGGAGTTTTGTGCCTCTCATTCTTGATTCTTTATTGCTCTTACTTTTGACCGCACCCATCAAACCTGCTAACTTTAATCTTCTGAACTCTAGCTTCAACATTTAGAAACATGACCGGTTGTTTTTGCGAGGAGCGCTCTAGACAGATGTTATGGAATTTTCATGTTTGTCTGCTTTCCTCACTAATTTTGGACTTTGAGGGAACCTACTTTGTGACAGGGTCTTTTCGTTAGACAAATTTTTTAAATTTTTGTGCATTTTCAGGTTATTGTTCAGGCCTGTTAGTTTCATTGAGTCAGGCAAGTATTAGGTATTGAGGACTTCAATGACTTTTCTGTGGTTCACTTCGGGTTCTTACCCCTATTTGTGCTTCCAGTAATGTGGGGCATTGTGTATTTCGTTGTAGTCTGCTTGTTGGCTAGTTTTTGTGCTAGGTCATCAATTGTGTGTTCCAGGTGACCGTTTGCATTGTTTTCCTATGATTGTTAAGGAGCTTTCACAATCTTCATGAAGCTTGTGTCGTGGACCACTCGGTAAAGTTCCCTCTTTCCGTTTCTTTATAAATATAAGTTTTTATGTACTGCATAGAGTTACATTACACAGACCATCTCCTTCTTTAGTATTAGTGACTGCTTTCCTTTTTCTCTTTTAGCAAAGTCAGTTTTTTGCCTAAAAAGCAAAGTGGCCTTTTCATTGCTTTAGCAAACGATATTTATATTGATTTGACTGTAGTGCTCACTTTTAAAATTAAACGGGGTAGATAGGAGTTACTCCTACCGTTCACGGGTAAATAAAAATTAACCGGACGTTTTGTGTGTTTTTGGGAGCCTATAATAAATCTCATTTAGAAGCATTGCGGTGAAGGAAAATTTTTTTTTTAAAAAAGGGCTTCACATTAATTTTAGGATTACTATTTTCTAGTGTACGTAGAGATAGGTTTAAATGTATGATACATATTATATATGTAATATGCATTAAGACTCGCTAGCGTATATATTGATAGTATATAAAAACTTTACTTTTAATTTTAATGCTCGATAGTTAGACCTATTAAGAGAGGTATAATTTCAGGAACTTCACCAAATGTTTCTGACATGTACATTAGTTTCTTTCGAGATTTGAAAATTTTAAAATACCTTTTCTTGTCAAAAATTTGGGGTCGAATACTTACATCAAGCCTGGTGAAATGATTGAATTAGTCTGAAAGCTTAAGAGGTGTTTGGCAATTATGTGAACTTAATCAATTAAATCACTAGTTGAACAAATTAAAGGATTCAATTTAGAGCTCAAAAAAAAAGAGAGTCTAATTTGTCATGACGAAAGGGCACATTCAAAAACGCCCTTTTCTGACTGATATGCCTGACAAAAAGGCTAAAGAAATCGGACTTGAGAGATAGAGAAGCGGTTGTGCAGCTAAGGGTGTGAGTATAGGGATGGCAACGGGGCGGGGGATGGGGCTGCCTACAAACTCCCCCGCCCCCGCCCCATCCCCCGTCCCCCGCTTCCCCTGCGGGTGCCCCCACGGGAATAATAAAAATTTGTTATATAATTTTATTATGATTAAATTTTAGCAAATACTCAAGTACTAAAATATCAACACATCATTAAATTATTATTTATTATAATTTTATAATTGAAACCTATAAAAACAATCAAATAAAAATTATTTCAATACAATTCAACATGATGAAGTAAATATAACTAAAGTAGTTAAGTTTTCACTTTTGGCATAAATACAATCACTAATTCATTATTGTGCTTGTGCTTTTTTTAAGAAAAAAATGTTATTGTATTAAGTGTAATTAGGGATTTAGTATATATGTATTAGTAAATTTAGTATAACCAATTAATAATTTGTATTAGTACACATATATAATTATTAGTATAATTAATAATATCAATTATATTATATATACTAATAGATATTATATAATACATATAACTAATAATATCATTATCATAAGTTTGTAACTAATTAAATTATATATTATATACATATATATTTTATATATTTATTTTTTTAAAGCGGGTGGCGGGGCGGGGGTGCCCCCTCCCCGTTTCCAAGTGGGGGAAGCCCCCGCCCCCGCCCCACCCCTTGCCCCAACCCCCTCCCCATTAGCCCCCCGCGGGGCGGGTGACGGCCCCCATTGCCATCCCTATGTGAGTACGCTTCAAAATTGGGGGAAAATTGCTTTCTAATTCTTGTCAACAATTTTCTAGGCCTTGTTTGGTTTGTGGATTTTTATCAAAAAATCACTACGTTTTCCGTGAACAAATTTTTCAATCAATTTTTTATTTCACATATATCAAATTACTACAGTAATTTTTTTTAATAAAAAATCTAGAAAAATACAATTCAAACACAAAAGCGGAAAGATTTTTCAGATGTTCAAATTTGGGAATTATGGTTAATGTTGTAGATATGTTCAAATTTGGGAATTATGTTCAAATTTGTGTTCTATCTCTTGAAACTAGTTTTTTTATTTCTTGCTTGAATTGAGCTTATTTGTTACAAGCTCGAGGGAAATCAGCGCAACTGCCAGACACATTTTTGAAATTATCTCTTTACAAATTTCAATTCTCAATTTGACTATCCATTAACTCGTCGTAGATATCATATGTCCTTGACGTAATCGATACATTCACAATAATAGAGAGAGAGAGAGACAGGTGGCAATTGGGGAAAGTATTTTGTGTTATTTTTTGAACTTTCA